GGCCCTCAATAATACACCTTTAGGGCAAATGTTTTCACTCAAATTCAAATATAGGGTAAACTTCCTTAATCTCTTCTGTTTCTATGACAAAATACCCTAGGCTGCATAATTTGCCAAGAACAGAAGTTTATTGGCTGACAGTCCCAGGCACCTGGTGAGACTCTTCTTGCAGCCTTGTAACATGCCAGAGGCCACTATGGTGAGACAGAACATGTGTGCTACTGAGGATCTTGCTCACGCCTCACACAGAAATATTAATGCCATGTGGGCCTTGTCCCCCGTGACTCCATCTAATCTTAATTATTTCCCCAGAGTCCTCACTCCAAATGCTGTTAACACACAAATTTCAGTCCCAAGTTTCCAACACACAAACTTTAGAAAAAACACATTCAAACCATAGAACAATCAACATTTAGAAAGTTTGAGGAAATTTCTTCGGATCACATTTTTGCCAGATAATAGACCCATTGGCCCATCCCAGTCTGGTAACTTCAGAGCACTTCTTACACATGAGCAAGATGGTCCTGGAGACACCATCTGTCCAGGTCTATCTAATAGTTCAATGTCATACTCTAAGATCTTCCACAGCAGTTGCCTGTGATTCCACAAGCAGGCCTGACCGCAACGCTTTCTTTTCAGTTCATCTGAGTTTGTAATCAACTTAAACCCAAACACACTTGTACCCAAATGGTTACCAAGACTGGTGCACCAACCAAGACACTTCTTTTACAGAGTCAGGTTTCATCTCCTTTTGTGCTAACTGTTAAAGTGAGAACACGAGATTCTGACACACGGAACTGCAGTCTGTAAAACTTGTTCTGACTTAAGAAGCTGTGCTTTTGTGACATGATCCAAAACTCTAATGAAATTCAGTTCTGAGGAGACCAGAGCCTTCTGCATCCCTTCCCAGTCTGTTTCCTGGGATGCCCATGGGACCATCCGGCTCCACCCTCCACCCCACAGTTTAGGTCAGACACAGCCAGGACTGTCAAGCAGAGTCTCTCTGAACCCAGAGAGACACCATGCTGATTTACCATCCTTTTTGACTCAATCAAGCAGCAATGAATGAATCTCATGAACTTGACAACATCCTCTCTCCATCTTCCCCAGAAAGAGGTGGGTGGTGGACACATCCTTTCTTATTTATTACCTGTTAGGAAACAAGCAACCACTTTGCTGGTGATAATTTTAGATGAAAAAGGTGTTTAGCAGATGGCTGCATGGAGAACAGATCCACACCAACAGTCCACACAGACTCATCTCCAAACAAATCAACAACCTAAACGTAAGCTCATTCACACTGAATCGGATAGAAGACAAAGTGGAGAACAGCCTTGAACTCCTTGGCACAAGAAAAGACTTTCTGAATGACACCTTCTTAGTGCACAGGCACTAAGAACAACAATTAATAAATGGGACCTCATGAAGCTGAAAAGTTGTATGGCAAAGGACACCATCATTTGGACAAAGTGGCAGCCTACAGAGTGGGAAAAGATCTTCAATGATACATGCGATACAAATTATGTATCTGATGTATCTGAAAGAGGGTTAGTATTGAAACTATATAAAGAGTTAAAACAAATTTAAACATCAAGAAAACAAATATTCCATAGAAATCCCCCAAATATCAAAGGCTATTACCGACACTATTGGTTACTTTCCCCAACTTGACAATAAGGCCCTAGTGCTGAAGATGATGTCATATATCTCACAGAACATGGAGAAGGGAAGCTGGTGCCTAATTAGAGGCATCACTACTACTCACTAGTGTTCATGGTACTGGAAGGTACTCTGCACGCTACCCGAGGAGAAAGGTAATCATCAACCCAGCTACAAACCTCACACAGAACCATATTCCGGGGTAACAGTGGCAGAGGTGTTGGAGGGTTAACCAACCACTTTCAAGTTGGATTTAAGGCTCGTTCCATGAGATAAAACCCATACCTGACACTGCTAAAGTAACCACGACCTGAGACTAGATAGGCCACGGGCCTAGGGGAAAACCTAAAACTATTGTTCTGTTAAAAGAACATTTAAAAATGACTCCTAATGATATACTGCTTATACCGACAGACTGGTGTCTCACTAAGCTGTCATCAGAGAAGCTTCCTGCAGTAGATGGGAACTAATCCCGGGACCTACAATTGGACAATGTGTAGAGTGTGAGAGACTTTGGAGCACTCGATCTCAAATGGCATCAAATCCTTTTCCTCAGAGCTCGGGAATCTATGGGGAGAGGAGGTGAGAACTTCTAAGAGGCGGAGGTGATGAATGATTCCAAGAGAACAGTGTCTTCCAGACACAATAGGATGGAGGTTCAAGCTAGATGTGGTCCCAGCACTGAGAAGGGGAAGCAGGCACAGGGTCCCACCTTTAGCCAAGCAATCATCTGCAATTCATATCTGCTGCCAATGGAAAAAAAGATCAATTTTCTCCAGTGGAGTCTCACTGGGTATAAAAATGACCCTTCAGGGAAGGCCCCATGCCCAGGAGTTATTGCTCAACATAAAACAAACTCAATGGTATTGTTATGGTATTTTTGTAGACTTTTTGTTTGGGCATTTTTCTTTTATCTTATTGATCTTTTGCTTTTTCATTTTTATTTTTGTGGGTAAAGTATTTTGTTGTTTATTTACTTGAGAGAGAGAGAGAGAGAGAGAGAGAGAGAGAGAGAGAGAGAGAGAGAGAACGAGAACATATACAAAGTTGGGTAGGTAGAAAGGTGGGGAGGATCTGGGAGGAATTGACAGAAAGTAAAACATGATCAAAATAAAATATATTGTGAGAATTTTTTTTCAATAAAAAGTTTTTAAAATGTATGCTTAAAAATCTTTCCAATTTATAATGTCACGAATGAAAGACCAACATGGAAATGTCACTCAAAATTATCACAGTGATACTAAAGGTAACAATAAATTATCAAGTTAGTTATCAAATAAGGATTCTATACTTAAAATCACAGTGATTATCTATAAGGAACACAAGGCATTAGGCATCAATTAAATTGGCAGAATGATAAATGTTATCTGTCATCCTCAAGGCATTAGGTCTAAACATGAAATTTTTTCCATCTAGAATCTTCCATAGAAAACTGACTGCCATAACTAAAGGATGATAAAGCAACCCATTTATTCCATTATATAAATGCAATTAAAGCTAAGGGCAAAGCTTCTCTTCACACAGCAAATTTTTCCATAAAGTGGATCGTCATAGGAAAAAATATAATCTCTCATGAGACTGTTGAGGCCCTCTAAGCTACATGGCAAAACCCAGCTACAGGCACCCATAATTAACATCTAAATCAGCTACTGCAGGCATTGATTGAAAAAAAACTATTAAAAATCAGAGCTAGCAAAATATAAGAAATAGACCTGTGCTCAGCAGACTCGTAGGGTACCTAATATGTACTGCACCAACCCATCAACTTTTATATAACTAAATTTTATCTCCATCAGCACATGACAGATTAAGTAACTTTATTTAATGTAAGAATTCAATTTCCTATGTTCCTACAATCTGAAATAATTAAGCAATCCATCCCTTACTCCCATCAAGATGACACTAACTCTGAAATGAATTTGAATGTTCTGTTGCAAACAAACAAAAAAAACAAACAAACAAACAAAAAACATTGTGTACAGAAGTGCATTACGTTGTGCAATATTTGTTTAACCATGCAAAGATATGACACATCCATCCATTTAACTATGTAAAGACATGTTGCATTTGTTTATGTTGCAGAATACTTGTTTAACTATGTACGTATATGTTGCATTTGTTTAGTTATATAAAGGTGTGTTGCTGTTTCACCTTGCCTGCCTAAGGTACCTGATTGGTCTAATAAGAAGCTGAATGGCCAGTAGCAAGGGAGGAGGTATAGATGGGACTTCTGGGCATGGAGAGTAAGTAGGAAGAGGAATTTAGACTAAAATTTAGACTGAAAAAAAAAAAAGAGATGCCAGGGGCCAGACAGACAGACACAAGAGGAAGCAGGAAAGTAAGATATACAGAATGTAAGAAAGGTAAAAAGCCCTGAGGCAAAATGTAGATGAATAGGAACAGGATAAATTAAGTTAAAAGAGCTACTGGGACAAGCCTAAGGTAGGACAGAGCATTCATAATTGAGAATAAGTCTCTGTGTCTTTATTTGGAAGCTGGATGGTAGTCCAAAGAAAATGCCAACCACAGCATTATGCAAAATATAACTGGAAGGATAAATGGGTTCCAAGCAGAAGAAAAAGTGATGGGAGCCAGAGAGATGGCTCAGTGGTTAACAATTCTTCCAGGGGATCTGAGTTCAGTTTCCAACACTCACTCCTGCAGCTCACAAGTACTCATACTCCCTGCTCCATGGGATCTGACACCCTCTTCTGGTCTCTTCGGGTACTGCACTCATGTATACATACACTCACACAGATAAACACAAGCATATATAATTTTAAAAATAAAAATCTTTTTAAAAAGAAGAGAGGAAGAGGGGATGGGGCAGACAAATGTGTAATGTGAGAACTACACACACAGCAAAGAGAAGTATAATATTATAATACATGGAGACTCAGAGTCTACCACATATGATTTTTGTCTTTTTAAATAATTACTCAGAAATAAAAGGACATGATCATTTTAAAGTTATCTAACTACTATTATGTAAAGAATTTACACTGGGTGTCTGGACCATAAATTATGCCAACAGAAAAAGTAAAACTGAAGTGTTGTTCATAGCCAGAACATAAACGCAAAGTGCATTTTTAAGTTTATAATGTCTTTGTTTCTGACATGGAAAAACGCTAAGAGAGCCCATCTGTTTTTGTTTTTATATATACTATCACATTTTACTTTTGACTGTAACATTTTTGGACACTGAAAACTTGTAGTAATTTAATCTCCTGTTAGAGTTGAATAACTGCATTTTGAGTCTAGACGAGTAAGTTTCCCGAGTTCCGGGAAATGGCATCTTGTTCCATTTTGTAGCAGTTTCCTGCTTTTAAGTGCACACTTACGTCCACGTCGCAGCTGTATTCTGATCCATCCAGAAGTGTCACTTTGCACTGCATGCTTTTAGGCCTTTTCACGATCTTTAATGGGGACCGTGAGAGTTTGCTGCTGGATGATTTCTGAGAGAGTTTATCGTCTTCAAACTGCTGATACTCAAGTTGTTTTGCAGCTGCGGCAGCGAAGTCCCGGTCCTTGTCGCTGACCTGTGGACACCAACAATGAGCACCTTTCATAACAGACAGGAAATGGAGACTGAGTTGCAGAGATACCGCACAGCTCCAGGGAGACAGGCTGCGGTCCCGTTTCCTAGAGGATGTGAGCTGTCTCAACTAGGATGCTAGGAGTAGATACACAGATTTAAATATTTCTGAAGGCCAGTTACACCTAAATAATCCCACCCACTTACAGGTACCACTAGGGCCCGTTCTCAGCTGACCCAAGACTTAATAGAGAAGAGAATATAATTCAAAGGCATTGGATGGCGAAGGTCTCAAAAACACTAGTTTTCATAACTCATTGGATTCTTCTGCATTAATGGATCTGTTAGATCCATCCCTCCCCCATACACTTACAAGATATAAATGTTAAGGCTTAGAGAGCTGTGTTAATCTTGTCAGTAATTTTACAAGTGCTAAAACACTTGATTCTGCTCTGAATCAGTTCTCTGAAGTCAGCAGTGCTGAAGTTCAACACAATGTAATCCCCTGGGTCTGTTCTCTTCCCGGTAATGAGCTGGTGTGAGGACAGATCAAAAGTGTGTGAAGCTTTAATCTGCTGAATCTCTATAGTCTGTTCTAGGACAGTCTCACAACTGCAGAGAAACATTCTATGGACCATGAACTTCTTCCCTAGCCAGCTCCCCAGCATCTCTGAATACTGCTCCCCAGATGTTTCTCCACCCTTCTTCTATCTGATCACCACAATGGTGGCATGCAAACCTGATTCATGGCTGGATGGTTTGTAACACCAACAATGCACAGAAAAAGACACCAATGTTCAGGGCTGACTCTCAGAATAAACACAGCATTTCTCACACAGATGACCGTCAGCCAGGTACTCAAAGTGCCTGGGATCTTGAGTAGATACAGAATTGATGGTTTATTATTTCAACTTTTACTGCTTTCTACTATTTTATGAGCAGAGTCATTTTAGTGTATTAGTTTTAGACCTTTGGTATAGATTTCTGTTTTCCCTACATTTTCTACCTTGATTTTCATAGACAAGATTAAGAATACAGTCCTTTCTTTTACCAAAACTGTCCATGAATTATAAGCAGTTCTTAACATAAGACAATTTTGACAAATTTCTAAAAAAAAAAAAAACCCAAAACCTAAAGTGGTGAATGTCTGTTTTTCTATGTATGTATTCTAAATCACTGATGCAGGAGGATGACAAGTTGGAGGCCTACCTTAAAACAACTAAATAAACAATGACTGAATGGCCAACTTGAAAAGCCAAGGTAATTGAGAAAGTAAACTTCAACAAGTCAATAAACTAAAAACAAGACAAAACAAAAACCCATTTTGACAACTCACTCCAACAATTTTGACTGTATGAAAGCATCAAAATGATCAATGCAAGAAAGCTATGAAATGTCATTATCTGTCTTTGACATAGTTTAGGGAGAAGTACAGTAATCCTGGAATTATCAACCATGATACATCTTATCATGTGTATAATTTATATACAATCTCAACATACTTAAATTGTTGTCTCCTTACAGGCAAAGCCAATTGATGCTACTTTGAAGTTAAATTTTGCTGGAATCACCATTTTCTATATACCACACAAGATAAGACTTTGTTTTCCCACCACTAAAAGTATCTGTATGAAAATAAACTCTCTAGCTGAGTTAAGCATTGCTCACTTGTCTTGTGCAGATGTTAAGTGACTATCACTCAAGGACAGATCTTTCTGGAACACATAAAAGAGGAATCTACCACTGAGGCTTTTACAAGCCAAGTCTGGAAAAGCAGACCAAGTTTCTCAAATGAACTGCCAATTATAATCATGTGACGCATGGCTGTCAATCATTTTAGCATACCCTCCTCTCCACTCAGTCTTTCCCGTTGCTCTGATGTGTAGGTACTGCAAACTCAGGTATAAATAAATGAGGAGCCACAGGACCAGGAAGGCTTGGAAATTCAAATCCAGCCACATTTAAATAATCATTCTATGACCAAATATACTGAACTTTATTTCTAACATTGTTTCTAGGTGTAAAGCAAAGATCTTGGTACCTTAAGAATGATTCCTTGTTAACATTTTGTGAAGGTGCAATGTGAGGACCAGAGGCCCCTGAAGCAAAGCAATGGTGGCATGAGACAGGATTTACTCAGGTCTCTGCCCTGTGCATCCAGGCACATTTCCCTCTGCAGGTTCAGTATCACATCCCTTGTTGGTTTCAAATATACGACTATGAGAGATAAAGTACAGTCATGGCCCATGTAACACCACAAAAAGCTCATATATGACAGTGGTCGCTTAAGACATAAGCGCTGAATTGGTTGAAAGGGCTCTGAGGGGAGTTGTGCAGGGGAAATAGGGGGCAGTAGTGGATGTTTCTTTGTGCACGTGTATGAAATTCTCAAGAATAAAGAAAAATTAATGTAAACATATAATTCCTGTCGCTTTGTGATACAGTTGCTGTTGTAAATCCAAAACAATAACCCAGCTCATGTGTCTGTAATGATCTGTATTATCAGATACATGAAAGTCCAGCTGGGACACTAATGTACAGCAAATAATACTTAATGATAAGTTATCATATTATTGGTTCACGGATTTACTGTAATACACTTTTAAACAATATTACAGTGTGGCGTTCCTACTCATAAAAATGTTTACTATGGAACACATTACGCTGTTATGACAGAGCCAGTACACACCTCAGGTTTGCCAAGCCTCTTGACCACATCCTTTCCTTC